CTACATGGGAGTCCAGCGACATAGCTATTACGCCAACTGCTGGTCCCAAGTTTTAAGATTTCTTAATCAAAGGCAATTATCTTTGTTTTCCTCTGTAATTCATTCAACTTCATAAGAAAAACATGAATAGAATTGAATAGATAATTGGGTAAGGGCATAAAATAGCAATTGACGTAAGAGCAAAGTAACACGTGGAATAAATAGCTTCAGTAGTAATCAAATAGATACAAATGATTGTTATGATAGTTATGTTATCTATAAACCTTGTGACTCCCAGGGTTGAGGTTGTGCTAAAATGATTCTTTGTTGATGGCTAGGTAAATTAAAGCAACTTTTACAAAGCATTGTGACATATATATCAAGAATTATAAAAATAGTCATACCCTTTAACCATGTACTTTTTTCTTTTAGTTTATTTATTTCTCCTGTGAACAGGAGAGATAGTTACTCCCAGGAAGGTCTACACATCATGGTCCACTCTCAGCTTCAGCCTTATCTGGATCATCGGCACATATGTGCCCAGCATGTTCAGGGAGGTCTCCAGATATGAACCTGGGACCTTCCTATGTGAGTCAGTCTCAAAAAGCATACCATTACCTGCCACCCCATCCCGTTTACTTTTTTTTTTTTGGAGAGGTTTTTGCTATAGGGCGCATGCGCTCGGCAGACAGAGAGAGACATAGAGACAGAAAGCGAGAAATCACCCCCAGGGGGGATGGTCACGCCGCAATCCCTTCTCCTCCATTCTCCTCTTGGGATCTTGGGCACGCACGCACACGCGCCCGGCGTGAGTTTTAAGCCACCGGGTCCGGGACACGAACCGCAGTCGACTACGTGGGAGTCCAGCGACACAGCCATTACGCTAACTGCTGGTTCCCCCGTTTACTTTTGATCCTAGAAATTTTCTTAAGAAATCATTGTATAGGAATTTTTAAAATCTAGATTAGTAAAAGTCTTCATTGCATTTTGTGTTTTATAACTTCTTTTTAGAATGATTTAACTTTATTTATTTAAATTTGACCAGAGATGGGGAGAGTGAGAGAGAGAGAAAGTGAGAAAGCAACCTGCCAGGTCCAGGACTCGAACATCGGTCAGCCATGTGGAAGTCCGGTGCCCTTAACCACCACACCACCTGCCAGCCCCTGTGTTTTATAACATTTTAAAAGTTATCAAAAAGAAAAGTAAAAGAATTTAAGTATTAAAAATTAGAGCACTGATTGGACAAATCTTAGCATATAGATTCAGCATGCAGTACTATGTAACTTAAAAATAATAACTAAATTATGGAAAACTGTATGCTGTGATATGAACTACAAAAAACTAGAATACAAATTTGCATATTGTGGTGTTCCTGTGGAAATTATTGTGCATATTAATGACATTAACAGGTAGAATGCAAAAAAAATGCTCCTGTAATTTTAGAAGGATCTTAGGTCATTTTTTTTCCCTTTTTAAAAATTTTCTTGAATGTTGGTATCACATTGTCTTTAGTATTTAAAAGAGAGAGTTAAACAAAATGGTACAGGGAGTCTGAGCTCTGAACTGGGAGTTAAAAGACACGCATTTTCTATTTTCTCTTCCAACATAAACATACATTGTTGGCCTTCATTGGCCTTAATTTCTCCATCTTTACAATGGGTTAACTCGTATTTCCTTTACTCCAGATTGAACAGAATGTTTATTTTATAAAGCTTTTAACTCACTGAATACAAGAGTTCATATAAATGCATTCCTAGGAGAATGAAAGGCGGGAGGGAGAGGAAAAGATAAATAGGCACTAATTAATTTTAAAAGGAAAGATCATCTGCTTTAATCGGAAATGCATATGTACTGTGCCGCTAGTCAGGGTTTTAAGTGCACTCCTTGTTAGTTAGCAGCTTCAATTTAAAGTACTGTGTGATCCTTTGGGCTTTGAAGATATGAAGCCTATATACATACACATGAGCTAAAATTACCGCGTAGTCACAAGGAAGTGTGCGCCCTGAATAATTAAATGCACTAAGCAACTTCAGCTGATGGCTTGAAGATGTGCAAGAGTAGCACGCAAGCCACGTGACAAGGGACATTACAAGACGTTGCAAGATGATGGTTTCATTTTTAAGCTTTCTTTTTAATGTGTGCTTTCTCTTTTTAGTCATTACAGGCAAGTACAAGAGATTTGATTATCTCGTTTCCTGTGAAAGGTTATTTAGCTCCTCAATCCCATTAAGGCACTCCCTGCACTCCAGTGCATTGAGCCTTCACCAGGTTATCAGCCCAGGGAGAGTAAACGGAGACACCGGGATCAGATTTCCAAAGGAAGGGAAGTTAAAGCAAAGTTTGAAGGGGGTGACAGCCAACATCCAGGAGCTCAGGAACTGAATTCGACTAGAAGACAACTAACTCATTATCTCATTCCGAAATGATCTAAATACATAAGAATCTAAAAGTTTTAAATAAACTTGTCCTACTGACTGTCTAGATGACTGAATTTCCCTTCTCAAAAAATTTTAAACACCCACTTTCGTATTTATTTATTCTAAGCCTGGAGCAGCTGCGATAATTATGCTGTCAGATTCAGTAAGTTAATGAGTCACCGAATGGAAGGTTTTGCATTCGTGAGACTGCTGAAGGAGGGCCGCTCTACAGCGTTTTTCTTTCTTTCTTTATCTTTTTTGCTCTTCCTTCCTTTCTTCTACTCCTTTTCCTTTTTCTATGAGTTGGGAAGGAGAGGCTGGCAGTCCACAGCCAAATTGGAATCCTTTTGATTAACTGGTTGCCTTTCCAGCATGTTCTGCCAGATAATGTCTCTCAGTCTCTCTCTCTCTCTCCTTCTCTCTCTGTCTCTCACTCTCTCCCTGCTCTTAAGGAGCGGCTGCTTTTGAGGGGCAAGGAAGCCTGAGGGGAATCCCAGCTTTTTCATGCCATTTTCCCTAAGGCAAGAAGATATTTCTCCCTGAGAGAAGTTCCCAAGCTGGTTTGGATTCGGGTTGATTTGAGAGTCATATGTAAAGTGTACACATTATTTATTTTGGTTGTTTAACTGTTTTAGCTATGACATGAGCTAAAAGAAAAGAGAATACAACATTGCATATTATAATGTGCCTGTGAAAAATGTCTTTTGCATATCAACATTGCATATTATAATGTCCCTGTGAAAATGTCTTTTGCATATCAACACTGCATATTATAATGTCCCTGTGAAAATGTCTTTTGCATATCAACAAAACTGGAAGACTCCTTTCCAGACTAGCAAATACGTAATTCCACGTCGAAAACCTCGAGGCCACAGGTTAAGCACAGCATCCCGGCAAATGTCTGAACTGAGCAAGGCAGGTCCGGCATTGCAGGTTTGTTTCTCCCCTTTGGGTGCAAGCAGCCTCCAGTAAACAATAGTCTTAGGGCACGTTATGTTCTTGGTGTGCCAAAGATAGAAGCTTCTGTTTTTGTTAAATCCTGAGCTATTTTGAGCAACCCAGGTTTGTGCAGATTGTGAGGCCTTGGAAAGAAATGCCCAAGTGGAAGAATGCCCTGCGCAAGTTTGGTGGCTGCGCTTTGGTGACAACATGGCTCCTAACTTTTTGCTGTTTTTTTTGTTTGTTTGTTTGTTTGTTTCAGACAGTATCTCTGCTAATCATTGGTTGCAACAATGGCAACGATTTATTAAAAGCGTATTTTGTATCAGGAACTATACAAGGTGTTCTGCATGTATTATCTTTAAATTTACAGCAATCTCCCAGAAAATTTTCTTTTCTCCATCTTGCAGATGGGTCTTTTAAAATGTTAACTTCTAGACAGCTGGGCTTCTAGCCTTAGCATAGTGAGCACTTGAAACAACAGGCACTGAACACAAGCTGTCTTTTTTTTTTTCTTGAGAGTTTTTTGCTATAGGGCGCGTGTGCTAGCCAGAAAGACAGAGAGAGACAGAGAGACAGAAAGCGAGAAATCACCCCCCAGGGTGGATGGCCACACCACAATCCCTTCTCCTCCATTCTCCTCTCGGGATCTTGGGCACGCACGCACACGTGCCCGGCGTGAGTTTAAGCCACCAGGTCTGGGACTCCAACTATAGTTGTCCACATGGGAGTCCAACGACATAGCCATTATGCCAGCTGCTGGTCCCACACCCTGGCATTTATGGAAATGCAAACGGCCAGCATTCTGAACTGACAGAATACATGGAGTGGAGGGTTAAGGTGGTGTGTGTGTTTTAATTTACAAAAGTTGCACCTTAGAATCTATTTAAATCCATCACCTAACATATCTAATAGGATTTGAAACTTTCAGAAACATGTCTAGCCCAGCTCGATGCTCACTGCCTTTTGTCAGGGATACAGTCCAGTCTCCTTGGCTTAAAATTTACTCCCTCCACCAACTGGTTCTAACCCTCTACCAGCTTTATCTTGTTCTAACCGTGCAGGATTTACTGCACCTGTCTCGAACACTTTCCTTTCTCTGTGCTTTTGCCCATGCTGATCCCCGAGTCAAGAATATTCTCCCAAAGTCCTTAACTACTGAGAGCAAATCATTCTTCAAGGCCCTAAGGACACCTTGTCTATGTTTTTCCTTTGTCCACAGTAGACCCAAGGAGAGGGGTCATTATAATCCTGTGTTTGGATCTACTTTAGGCCCTTATTTGTATGTGTGTGTGTGTGTGTGTGTGTGTGTGTGTGTGTGTGTGTTTGTGTGTGTGTTTGTGTTCTGGTTTTAATCATATTTTTCATATTTTCAACCCCTAGCATTATACCTTGTCCAAGTGTTCATTTGGTAAAACTGCATTAAATTGAATTAAATAGGAAGCACTTGGCAAGTATTAGTAGATTCAGTAAAACGAGTCTTCCATGAGTCAGTGTAAATTATTGGTAAATAAGTCTGGCTCATGTTTTGATGTCTCTTCGGGTGACAAATACTACAACAGACAGGCATTAAAAAAAAAAAAAAAAAAAAAGGAAAAGAAAAGAAACACTGTGAAAGATCCCAGGAAATAATGTGTTGGTGCTTTTCTCTTTTCCTCCCTACAGAGGAGTCTTTGTTTACGGTTTCAGGGGTGAGGTTGAAGCCAGAATTGTGTGACCTTTTGGCCTCCTACCGGAAAGGTCAGCACCCGGCTCCGTTTAGCAAATGCTGGTGAAAAAAGAGAAGTCACCAACATCCTTCCAGGCAAGTAAGTGGTCCCCACAGTGAGGCTGCCCTGGACGGGCTGCCAGGTGTTCATGGGTTCAGAGCACCTCTGTCCTGTGGCCAGCTCTTCATCCCCAGCTCAGGGGACAGGTGACCTAGTCTCTCTCATTTGGGGAACAGGCTGTTAAAAAGGAAGAGAGAGAGCATTGTGAGATCTTTGTGAGCCTTCAGCTGACGTGGGTAGAATGCAGGGTTACAATGACGTGCTGTTTTCCTTTAGGTAGTTCTGTCAGCTCAGAGGACAGAATTAGAAGTAAAGGTGGCCAATGGCTCAGTTTGCCCAAGACCAAGGGCTTGCTGGGATGCAGGACATTTGGTGTTAAAACTGACACAGTCCCATGTAAACCAGGGTGACTGGTCACCTTGGTGGTACAGATTTCTTTTCAAGGTCATCTTGAGGAGGAAGGGGTGCTGTGAAGGAGTTTCTGTTTCTTTTTTTTTAGAGAGAGATTTTTGCTATAGGTTATGTCCATTTACCAGAGACACAGAGAGAGACAGAGACAGAAAAAAGAAATCACCCCTCAGGGGATGGCCACACCACAATCCCTTCTCCATTCTCCTCTCGGGATTTTGGGCATGCACACACATGCACCCAGCATGAGTTTACACCATCAGTTCTGGGACTTGAACCATGGTTAACTGTATGGGGGTCCAGCGATGTAGCCATTATGCCATCTGCTGGTCCCATGTAAACTATTTTCTTAAAGCTACTCTACCATAAAAGGAGTTATGCTAGCAGGCATAGAAGCGAGGCAGAACAGCCCTCAGAGCCACCATAGTGTAGCTGCTCTTAGATTTCACAAAAGTATCTCCCATCTTGGGCTTTCTCTAGAGAGTGGGAGGAACGGTAATTGAGATAGAGGAACGAAGGTGAGAATCCATGTGCAGGATGGGTCAAACAGTCTTTGAGGTGACCCTGGCTATATTGTAAACCATGAGCATTGCATTTTGATTTGGCTACTCTTTTGCCCACCAATTTGGTAGGCCTTCCTAACAGACTTTTGGGGCCTGGATGGTGACTCCATCCACTCAGCTCAGAATCATTCACATGGCAAGATTCAACTCTTTACCTCTTTCTCTTGGACCTTTTTCTTTGGCTGTCACTATTTAAAAGCTTATACACATCAAGAATGTCTGCCTTCTGGCTCTTCTATGGTCATTGTCTTAAAAGACAATGCTCTCCTCATTGGATAACATGGAAGCTTAGAATTATATCTGTTCCCCCAGAATATTTTATAAAATGCCTAAATTTGTACTTTGACAATATGGAATTGGAATTACAATTGGCAATGCAATGATATGGTATTTCCCAAGCAAAGTATTTTCTAGAGCAGAGTCTTTACTATGTAATTATGCCATTTCAAACCTACCATTTACAAGAACAGGGTAAACTTTAGCTGTGTTCTATAAAGCAACGGGTTTCTCCTTTGTAAAATTATCCAAGACATGGGGCCAGCAGGTGGCATGGAGGTAAAGGCACTGGACCCCACATGGCTGACTCTGTGGTTTGAATCCCAGCCCAGGTGGTTTAAAGATCATACCAGGCAAATGTGCATGCATATCCAAAATCTCAAGAAGAGAATAGAAGAGAAGGAGTAGTGGTGTGGCCCTCCTCCTTGGGGGTAAGGGGAGTGGGTGATTTCTCACTTTCCCTCTTTCTCTCTCTCTCTTTGTCTGTCTGGTGAGCATATGTCCCCTATAACAAAAAAAAAAAAGAGAAAAGAAAAGAAAAAATAAAAGAAAATGATCAAAGTCGCTAATGGAAATGGTCTCAAATGGTTGCACGCCATATTATTAATAATAGCTATCATTTCTATTGTCATTGTTATTTTGTATTACTAAGCAGTCAAAGGTAGAGAAATTACCTTGACTCTGATCTACAGTGGCCTTCTGCTAGTAAGTGTTACCTGTAGATGTAAATTGGTCACAATACGAAATCAATGCAATGCAGTGTGTCAAGCTTGGCACCTGAGCCAGTCATTGAAGGAGTGGGGAGTCAGCTTCTGCTCCTTTGGAGTAATCTCATGATGTCCCTAGGCCTTGGTAGTCATGTAAGGAGATAAAACCGGTAGGAGATGAACCATAAGGAAAAGCTAGGGCAATTAAACTGTTTAATAAATGACTTGGGATCAGCAAAATCGGAGAGTGCTGGAGTTAAAGAGACTAAAAGCGGTAATCACATGGACACTTGGGGCCTGTAAATCTTTTTCGCTGAATTGAATTTATGTTAAATTATTCACTTTTTAGGAGAGTCAAAATGTAAATTGGAATAGTAGGACTTGGCAACTGGCAGCAATGCCTCCAAAATTAAGACTCTTGAAAGATCCTCAAAAACATCAGTTTCAGGCATGGAAAAAATGTACACTGATGTCTACCATAGAGAAATAGAGGGGAACTAAAATTTATGGGTACATACCACATTGCCAGCACTACTATGGGCACTTCACACAGTTCATTCCAAAGCGTGGCATGTTTTAAGCAGTGGGTTGCGGGGAGTTACAGTTGTAGTTTATACATCTGGACAGAGGGTTTTGTTTTGTTTTTGAGAGGTCTTTGCTGCAGGGCGCATGCTCTTGCCAGAAAGACAGAGAGAGGCAGAGAGACAGAAAGCGAGAAATCACCCCCCTGAGGGGAATGGCCACACCGCAATCTCTTCTCCTCCGTTCTCCTCTCGGGATCTTGGGCATGCACGCACACGCGCCTGGCGTGAGTTTAAGCCACTGGGTCCGGGACTCGAACTATAGTCGACTACTTGGGAGTCCAGTAACATAGCCATCATGCCAAATGCTGGTCCCGGGACATCACCTTTTCTATCAATATATAATATAATCCCATCAATAACTTTGCAATCACATTTAACAGGCTTTCCTTACTTGATCTGCCTCTTATTTGTTATTTCCAGTCTGTTTATTTCTCATTTACTTCCAGGGCTACATTCTTGTTGTCTCAGTTTTCATTTGCCTGTACTTAGAAGAAGCCTCCTGTCTACTTTGTATCAGATCTCAGATTTTATACCATTACCTGTGGCCTGGAATGTTTTAACTATGATGTTAAAGCCAACGGTATATAATTCTTTGGAGAAAAAGCAATGGAAGGTTATTGCCTAGAATTTAAGAGTGTTTGGCTCAAAAATTGCACATAGACTAAGATAGTCTGAGAAGAGGACTTTTGAGTAAGTTCTTCCTCTTTGTCTTTTGACAGAGAGATCCCTGAGCCAGAAGGTTGATTTCCCAATAGGACAGATGGGAGACGGACAATTGAAAGAATTTGGAGAGAGACCAGGTACATAGAGAGACCTGTCACTCCTGCATACGCTTCCAATTTCTCCCAACAAAAGAACTTCTGTGGCAAGGAGAGGATGAGTCTCCAGTTTGGAGACGTCTCCAGAGAAGATGATTCGGATAAAGTTGTCAGCAAAAAGACTTGCTTAAGACTACCTGTTACTGTTTTCCTAGGAGCGTTTCTTTGTTCACTATCTGGATTATCAGAACACATTACCACCCCACCTCACCCAGATTTCGGGAGTTTGGACTGAGTTGCTGTTTAGAATTGAATTTCAGGTTCTCTCTTTCTACTGAATCCTAATCATTGCAGTGATGGCAAAAGTGATGTGAAATCTAAGCTCTGATTTGATGGCAGAGATACTGAAGACTGATAGAAGTAAAGGGTTCCAAAGATGTAATGCAAGCCCTGTTGCCCCATCAGACACACATGCATGTGCACATACACAAGAAAGCCCTCTAGAAAAATGAGAGATCTTTGTAGGCTAACACACGTGCCATTTTCTACAATGGCTCTTTCTAAAAGAAAACAGGGAAACTCAAATTACTTCTGTCTAGGGATTACATCAGGGAATGTTGTAACCTAGAAACCAGAGCCCTCTATAAATACTTTAGAAGAACAAGGACGAACTAATTGAAAAATAGTAACTATGCACCCAGTGTCTGAGATGGAAGAAGAAAAAACACATACAAATAGTCCAAAGAAATCTGCTTTAGTATTTGATTTTAGTAAGGCACTTTGAAACAGCCTATCTGGATCTGAAAGGTGACAAAGCGTAGGCTGGATGATGGGGCAGAGACGTGCACTGAAAGAATGACAGTTATTCAGCTGAGAGGCCAATAGTGCTACAGTACAAACTTCAGCCTGGTGTCCTATTCCAGTCAAAAATGCTTATTAACCAGGGCTGCAAAAAGAGAAGACCTAAACCAGGCCAGCGTGAGGTCTAGCAGTACTACGGCCATTTTGAAATGAAGAAAGGCCTCTAACAAGACCAATGTAGGGGCTTGCAGGTAGCGTGGTGGCTAAGGGTATTGGACCCCCACATGGCAGACTGTGGTTTGAATCCCGGACCTGGTGGCTTGCTTTCTCACTTTCCCTCTCTCTCTTTCACTCTGTCTCTCTATGGTCAAATAAAAATATGTAAGTAAATAGATGGATAAAGTTAAAAAAGTAAAAAAAAGTAATTCTTAAAAAAAAAAAAAAAAAAAAAGACCAGTGTGACTAAGTGCTGAGTCAGGGGAGGTCTGTTTGAAGAATGGTCAGAGGAGAACTCAGGGATGGTTATTTGAAGAAAAATAGGAATTAGGAAAGTGATTGACTTTGTGGTGAGGAATGATTTACACTTGCTTATATCTCGTATCTTTAAGTACATGCTAAGCTCTCGAGATACTTCGGTGGTACTTGTTGACTATCTACCTATAACCTGGCTGCAAAAAATAAACTCCCTTCTTGTCCAGCCTCTGCCTCTTGTCCCATTGACCGCACATAGAGGCAGATGGACTTAGTGTGCGGTAACAGACTGAGGAGACAGAGAATCTCCTTCCTAAGGAGTAAGGGCCTTCACAAAGCAGAGGCTGGTCCTCTGGTGGGGGCTACACAGCTATGGCAAACAGCTCAGGTGTGCTACTTTTAAAACAGCAGAAAAAGTTCCTGAGTACCTGTTCACCAATAGAATGAGTGCTCCCAATAATAGTGGGCTCCTTTTGCCCCCATGAAGATACAGAAAACTGTACAAGGAATTCCCGTATTGGAGGTTAGAACAGCTGACCTCTAAGATTCCATCTAATTCCAAACTCTCCAATAATGACTTTTGAATAATTGTGGACACACTATACTTAGAATTATGATAATATCCTATTGTTGCAACAATGGATAGACTCATTTTTTTCAGTGGAAATTGATTAGATTATCCTTTTTCTGTTATAACTGGAAAATAAATTATGCTTCTGCTTCCTTTCTTAGTTAATGGATTTGCCTACTTAAGAGCTTAATAAAAATATTTAAAAGACTCTAAAACAACCTTTAATTCTTCCTTTATTCTTTGATTTCATAAAACAAGCTTTCCTAGTGTTTGTGCATATTTTTTCTCCCATTTAAAAATACATTTAATTTTATTTATTCATTTATTTTAATTTGGCCAGAGAGAGACATAGAGAGAGAGAGAGAGAGGGAAAGTGAGAAAGCAAGCCACCAGGTCCGGGACTCGAACTGTGGTCAGCTATGTGGGAGTCCAGAACCCTTAATCACCACACCACCTGCCAGCCTCTCTCATGTTTTTATCTATTCCATTGTATAGACACATACCTGACTTAAAACACATTTTATTTTTGTTCAATTGGACATATTAACTATTTTAGTGATGTTTACTTATTTAGTCATTATGCTATTGATTTAGTATTTCTGTCTCTGAGGCTCCATACCTGGATTCTTCTTAGCCCTCTAGTGGGTGATAGGGCTGGTCAATTCATTGTAAGAGGAAGTGGCGTGTGCCACTTCTGGACCTAGCATTCATCTGATTGCCAATGCAAGGCCCTCCAAATCTCTTTTCATTTTCCCTCTGTTGCAGTGACCAGAAGCATTCAAGATGGCCCCAGAATGAGATGTTCAATAGAATTCCCAAATGACATACAATGAATGTGTAGTGGGAAAGAGAGACAAAACCTTATTGTTCTAAGCCATTGATATTTTGGGGCTATTTGTTACTACACTATAACCTAGCCTATTCTGACTAATATTGGGGTACATCACACATAGACCTGCACTGTCCATCATGATAGCAACTAGCTACATGTGACTATTTAACTTTGAATTAATTATTGAATTAAAAATAATAATCAGGCACAGGTCCAACCATGGAGGCACAGATGGTAGGCTGCCACTGTGTAATGCTGGAGTCATATAGGAAGCCTTGGGTTCAAATACCAGGTCAACCTGAACATTCTGGTTATGCCAATGATCCTGGCTATCTAGAAGGTTCAGGGAGGACTGTGGCATGAAAAGACCCTGTCAAGGGGTACCTCAACCCACATCTATCTTCGGAAAGGAAGATTTTTTTTTCTTAGTTTTGGCATAGGGTATCAGAGAGAAACAGACACAGAGAAAAAGAGAGAGGGAAAGTAAGAAATCACTCCCCAGGGGAGATAGCCCACACTGTAATCACTTCTCCTCCATTCTTCTCTCAGGATTTTTGGCACATATGCATACACACCCAGTGTGTTTTTCACGTCATAGTCCAGCACTCAAACTGTGCTGTTGGTCACATGGCATCCAGTTGCCTTTACCACCATGCCACCTGCTGACCTGAAATAAATACATTTTTAAAAATAATCTAAAAATCAGTCACACTGACCACACTTTGAGGGCTCAATAACCACATGTAGTTAGTGGCTACCATATTGCATGTGCAAACATAAAACATTTCTATCATTATAGAATGTTCTGTTGAACAGCGCTAACACTGAGTGTTAGGAGTTTTTATGTTTTTTAGACTTTAGCCATAGGGCTTGCATGTTCACCTGAGAGAGAAAGAGAAAGACAGAGAGAGGGAAAGTAAGAAATCACCGCTAGGGGGTTGGCCACGCCACAGTCCTTTCTCCTCCATTCTCCTCTGTCATGTTCAAGCCACCAGGTCTGGGACTTAAACCGTGGGCAGCCACGTAGGAAGGAATCCAGTGCCTTAACCACCGTGCCACCCGCTGTGGCCTGAGTGCTAGGAATTTCTATGAAAGTTGATAGTGTCTAAAGTTCCTCGACACTTTAAGTGTGTGTATTTCATTTCACCTTGGAGTTAGTCTCAAAAAGTTTCACCTTTGAAGCGAAATTTCTAGGAGCATCCAGTCGAGGTTACCTTCTAGAAGAAAATAATCATTCGGAGCAGTTACATTTCTTAGACCCAAGGAACCAGAAAAACAGAGATGAATGGTTTCTCAAGGACCTTCTAGCCTCATGGAGAGTTAGATGGAAATAAATGCAAGATCTGATGACAACATATCAGCTATGCTATCACAGAGGAGATGATGATGATTTTTGTCATGAAGTGAGAGTTTGTCAGGCAGAAAGTTGTGGGGGTAAGAAGATAGCCCTAGGTGAAGGAAATATAGAAGGGGCAGGATGATTTGGGGAACCGAATACCCCAGATCTGTGACTTAATCCATGAGGCCGTTATTTTGCACAAGAAGTCCAGAAATAGAGGCTCCCAACCAGCACAAGGACCCAGGTTCTTCCCATCTTTCTTCACTGCATCTTCAGTGTCCTTCAGTGTCCTTCATTGCCTCAGTCCTCAGGCTGGATCCTATCATCATCATCGTCAAAAGATTCTGCTGTGGTTCCAGCGTCACGTGCAGACATGAGAATGTCCAGCTGGAGAAGAAGGCATCTCTTCCTGTGGGCTTTACTTTCCCAGTTTATGTATCTATTTATTTCATGAGAAAGAGAAAGAGAAGCTCAGCACCCTGAGGGTCTCATGCCACATTTCTCCTCCCAGCCAACCAGGGCCCACACCCAACATGTACAGGTTGACACGGAACCAAACCCTGATCTTCTGTATGTGCGGCCTTACAGAGCACTGTGCTGCCACTTTGCCACCATGGTTGGGTCTTGTGTGCTGTTTTTTTTTTGAGAGGGTTTTTGTTTTGTTTTGTTTTGTTTTGCCATAGGGCATGTGCACTCACCAGAAAGACAGAGAGACAGAGAGACAGAAAGTGAGAAATTACCCCCTAGGGGATGGCCACTCCACAATCCCTTCTCCTCCATTCTCCTCTCGGGATCTTGGGCACGCACGCACACACGCCCAGCGTGAGTTTAAGTCACCGGGTCTGGGACTCAAACCGCGGTCAACTACATGGGAGTCCAGCGACATAGCCATTATGCTAACTGCTGGTCCCTTGTGTGCTGCTTTTTAAAAGAAAGTACAGTTCTCCTTACATCATACCAATCAGACTCACATATTCACTCTTAAAATGCTAGCAAGAGGGATTCGGTGTCTGCTTTTGAATGTTCAGGATTTCCTCCAGAATTGAAGCTAAGCTCTCCTTTCTCGAGGGACCAATTAATGAAAAATCATGACAACATGTGAGCCTACCCTATCAGAGGAGATGACTTTTTTTTTTTTTTTTTGGTAGAGGTTTTTGCTTTGCAGTGTGTGCACTTTGCCAGAGAGAGAGAGAAAATGAGAAATCATCCCCTGGGGGATGGCCATGCCGCAATCCCTTCTCCATTCTTCTCCCGGGATCTTGGGTACACAGGCACACACACCCTGCATGAGTTTCAAGCCACTGGGTCCGGGACTCAAATGGTGGTCAGCTATGTGGGAGTCTAGCAATGTAACCACAACGCCATCTGCCGGCCCTGAGGAGATGACTCTTAACTAGAGAAATAGGGAATGGCTCTTAGGCAGCCAACCAATAGAATTTGCTACTGCAGGGACCAGCAGGTGGTATAATTGTTATGTCACTGGACTCCCATGTAGTCGACCAACTGTGGTTTGAGACCTTGACCCAGTGGCTTGAAACTCAAGCCATGGTGTATGTGTCTGTGCCCAAAATCCTGAGAGGAGACTGGAGGAGAAGGGATTGTGTCATGGCCATCCCCCTGGGGGATGATTTATTGCTTTCTCTATCACTCTCTGTCTGGTAAGTGCGCACACACACAAACTTGCTACTGCGATTACTTGACTATGGGGTCAAGTGGTGTGGGAGGCCGTGGGAAGTGAAGAATGACTGGTCATTCTGTTCTTGGGCTCTGTATGAATTATTATATCATTTGTAGTCGGGTAATCATTTTGAGGTACAGGTAGATGCATCAGATGATTAGAGCTGGTGGGCCCAGCCATAGTGGGACAGCAATAGCACAAGGCTCTGCATTGCTGGAAGCCATATGGAAGGCTGGGGTTATGTTCCCGGGTTCACTTGCACTCACTGTGCATGTGCTCATGATTCCAGCTGACTGGGGAAGGCTGTGGGGGAGGGGCAGGATGCAGATCACAATATGAAACCCCGTTGAGGGCATTTGTCTTTCTTTCTCTCTGTCTCTGTTTATCTCTGTCTCTCTCATGAAAGAAGGAAA